ACAAAAACTCATATCAAAATCAAGCAGCAATATTAGCTCCTTACCTGTCAATAATTATCATACATATAAATTAACTAAAAATACCCATCAAAAAACATAGTGTGATTGAGGGAGAAAACCCCAAACATGTCCTGACTGTATGCTGCCTATAAGAGACTCACTTTAAGGACACACACAGGGTGAAAATGAAGAGACCAAGATACATCTATATAAATGAAAATTAAGAGAGAATAGGGTTGGCTGTGTTGTGATGTAGCTCAGTGGTAGAGCATGCCCCAGGACCTGGGTTCAATCCCCAGCACCACAAAAAAAAAGAAGAGAGAATGAGGTTAAATGAATTTGTATTCTGTGCTCGAATATGTTGAGCATTTCCCAAAGGTTCATGTCTTAAAGGCTTCTCATCAAGGTGGCACTATTGGGAGTTGTTAAGGACCTTTTGGAATGTGGGTTCTTATCAGTAATCTTTAGATCATTAGGGACAGCTCATGAAAAGAGATTGTAAAAACACATTGGTTCACTATTTCTCTAGCACAAATGTAAGTGCCTTAAAATTTAAACAGTTTGCTACAACACATTCTTTCCAGAATTTTTATGTGGCTCTTTTACAGAGGCCCAAACAAGAAGGTCAACTTATCTTAGACATGAGCTTTCAGAGGTAAAGTAACTCACGTCCTGAATGTGCTTGTCCTAGAAACCTAACTGAGGGCTATAGGGAGATGTCAGAAAACACAACAGACAGAAGACAAAACATGCATAAAGCTGGGTCCAGGTAGGCTGATTATTAAGGAACAAGTGAAATTTGGGGGCTAGGCATATGTTCTGAATCTTGACTGTGATGATGTTTTCATGGCTATATACATATTCAAATTTACTGAATCATATATTTAAATATGTGCATCTTTTTACAGATCATTTGCAGTACAAAATAGTTATTTTAAAATCTAAGATGGCAACATAGAGCAAATGTATTTTAAGCCATCATCACGTCCTTAGAAATATACTAAGGAGAGTCAGCCTTGGTGCTGCACACCTGTGTAATCCTATCCTAGGGAGACAACAGCAGGAAGATCATGAGCAAAGGTCGGCCTGGGATGTATAGTGGGAACCCTGCCATGAACAAACAAATAACTCCATAACTCTAAGGATATTTTGATGATTTAACATCTATTGCAATTTGTTAACCAAGATTACTTGCCTGTCAGGATGACCATGACACCCATGTCAGGGTTTTCTGGTGAGGACATACAGCATACCAAGTACTATGCATTTCTCTTGCATACAAAATGAAAATTTTAATTGAATCTAACTATGTATATCAAGATCCAGTACAAAATCAAGATTGCAGAAATGGTCTTAGTATTTATCAAGTAGACAATAATTGTTTAAACTTTACTGGGTTTTAATGCTGGGTAACGTATATCAGGTTTTCTCACACCCCAATTCTGATTTTCACATATGCAACAATTGAAATCATTCTTAACAAAGAAGTCCCCAAGAGATGTCCATGGATAATTAGTTTCTGTGATTTTAGTTATATTCAGACATAGAAGAAGGAAATTAAACCCAAGGGACTGTTTTAGAAAGTGAATAAGTGTCAGTCTGAGGCAAGCACTTCCACAGACAGTGTCTCCATCTGACTTGAATGTCATTTCAACACAATCAGAAAAGAAGACAAAAGAGAATCTGATCTAAGGGAAAAATTGAGTTCAGTAAGTCATTTCATCTCTCTGACTCTCTTCATTAAGATAATTCTTAAAATATTTCTAAGTATATGCTTCACATGTGCCCTTTATGCTTGAAGATAAGAGAATCTTGTTTAGCTTCTCACGTTTTCAGAAAAGAATTCACAAGTTCTTTTCTCATCTCCTCTTCTTACTGGAATTTTTATGGTACCTTTAACAATAGTGCATGCACCACCATAATGCTCTGCCAAGGAGATGCTCACCTGAGCAGCTTCCAACTATCTGTAGTTAAATGATCCTTCCTGTTTAAGAGAATAATGGGTTTTTTATTAATTAATTAATTTGTTTATTTATTGTTCCTTTATTCTTGTGCTGGGTGGGGGTAAATTGTGGCATTTACAAATGTTCTTACAGTGTATCAAACACATCATACTTAAATTCACCCCTCCACCATTCTCCTTTATTTCCCCTCCCCCAATTTCTGGAATAGCTTCAACAGGTATCATTTTTGCATGTACTTATTTGTGTGCACACTTTTGCACCATATTAATGTTTTATATATTGAGTTGAGCATTGTATACAAGAGAACATTTGGAATAGAGATAGAAGTAATATGAGTTACATAATAGTTGAGAAGTGATAGTGCTACATAAATAGGACTAAAACTGAAGAGGCTGAATAAAATGTTTCTTATTTTTATACTCCTAAAGGAGAATACAGTTTGAATAATTTCTCTAAGCTTTCAAGTTCAACAATTCTGGAATGAACAATCCCTCCTTTAAGAAGGCTCCCTGTTTACAGATAAGATTTTCAAAGGTGCTGTAACAAAATAGAAATATTAGCACTTATTGGTCTCTTACAATATTAGTAACTCCTCCTACAAAGGATACCATGAAGCATGTAAATATGTTGAGTTCTTGCAAAGCAAGCAGCATATCCAACATTTTCTTTGCATGTGTATATTCCATAGAATTGCTGAGAATGTGTATCCTAGCTTATATACAATATGAATAGTAGATATTTTAAAGAAAGTTTTCATATTTGTTAACCTTTAAAGAATGCTTAAGGAGTATAGTTGTTTTGTGAATTTCTGATTTATTTTCATGACACATCCATTACCTTGAATTTCCTTTTTGTCAGATGAAGAAATGAAAACAGAAAAAGTTTTAGCTTAAAGTCACAAAGTAAATAATAGAATATATTTTCAGGTCAGACTAATCAGACTAAATCTGGCTAATTCAGATTACTCTATAATAAAACCAATTAAGGTTACTGTCTAATAAATAATAAATAATTTAATTAATAATATTATTTGTCCAGCAATAGGCAATATCAAAAATTATAAAGCTGATTTTAAGAACATTGCGATTTCTTATTATTTAATTATTCCCTGAGGATGTTCATATTCATCTCCAAGCAAATTTTTCTCTCAAATACAGTTGAAATCCTGATTTTCCTATTTGCTATTTTCTCTGTCACTTATTCAATAGGTACAGAACAAGTTATCAAAAATTTCTCCTAAAAAAGAAAGAAAAAGAAAAAAATTTCTTCTGAAAGAGTTTGTATTGATGAAAGAAGATGTTTAATAAAATGTGTTCAAGTTCCTTATGAATCTAATGGGGGTCATAGAGGATATTCTCTTTAGAAATTAGAAAAATCTTTTCTATTATGGAGGATGTGTTTATTTTAAGTTATTAAGACCATTATCATCTGTCCCTTTATCCACAGAAAACCTATGCCTTACATAATACTTTGAAATGATTTTATTTCTTGCTGTTCTTAATCAATGCTTCAGAGATGTTCCTAAAGGTTATGGAAGGTAATGACCATAATGAAGTAAAGGTTTTCGTTGCTCACCAGCTTTTCTTGGTGCCACACTGGAGATTTTATACTGTAAAAGAATTTGTGAGACAAAAAATGGGAGCAAATCCAAGAGAGAGAAATAATAAAAGGGAAAAGAATTGAGCAATTATCTTTCTTGAGAGTCTTGAAAATTTTGAATTACATAGATCTCAGTATAAGCAATACAATTACTATATTTAAATATGAATAATCAGTGATCATTGAAAGTTTAATGTAATGTCCAATTTTGCACAAACACTCAAACATATTCTTTGCTTACACATGGATATAATTTAATCTCATCTTAGAAACAAAGATGATAGGCAGTATTTGTCTCTGTGGTGGTCAGGAGATGGTAACGTCACAAAACCTAAGCATTTTTCAACATCCAATCATACGTGGAGATTCATACTCAAAGTTCTTGAAGTCAGAATCTTCAAGTTGCCTTCAAATTCATATTTGGTTAATCTTTTTTTGCATGACACTCCTCTGATTTTTCAATCAATTCAGTTTACTATAATATTTTATTACATTATATACTTTAATCAATGATGAATTATATAGCTGGTTTTGCATCTAAATCATTATGACAGTATATGTTTTACATGGACTTTTATATACTTCTCCTGAAGATTCCTATGAATGAAGAAATTTGCATATTAGAGAGAAACTGCAATATTGCATCATGTTGTATGCATGAGGTTATAACATCTGCACATTTCTTAGTACAGTATCTCTTTGTCCTTGGATTCCACATACCCCTTAGATGCCTGAAACCACAGATAGCACTAAATATTCTGTTTTTCTAATAAATATATACCTATAAGGATGAACAAATAAATTAGGCTAAGAGGCCAATAATAATAATGATAATAATAATAATATATAACAACCGCAAAAGATATTGCAATAAAAGTTATTATGATTTCTCTCCTCTTCTCTCTCTCTCTCTCTCTCTTTCAATTTGTCTTGAAAGAGTCAAAACAAATACTAACACTTTTGGAGTAATATTGTCTGCAGGCAACTAAAATACTGTCATGTGAAACTGCATAAGGAGGTTTACTATATATGACAAATTATAATTATTTAATTGAACACTTGTTGCCCCACTCAGATCTTTTCACAGGAATAGTCAAAAATATCTAGCTTACAGATGACATCATACTCATCCCTTTATCCTTACTCCTTACAAATCTGCTTTCTTAAGTTCCTTCTTGTGAGAGTACACTCCTTGAGAATTATGTGTAGAGGAATCTCATCTTCCTCTGGAAAGCCAATCTTGAGCACTTAGCTTCTTTTTTGAGATACAATACCATGTATATTTGACAATGTTTTCTCTTTATGATAATACTTTTAACTTTTAGATGTAGACACTAAGTTTCAATATGAATAGTAATTTCTAAATTTAACCACCCTTTTTTATTCCAGTAACTGATCATTTATCATGTCTACATTATTTCAGAGAACACACTGAATAAAATGGATGAAGGAAATCAATCTGTAGTGTCAGAATTTGTGCTTCTGGGACTTAGCCACTCACAGAATTTTCAGGTTTTACTCATCATAATACTTTCTACTATTTACCTGATCATTGTACCTGGAAACATTGTCATCATTACCTTAATCATCTCTGATCCCCGTCTCCATACCCCCATGTACTTCCTGTTGGCCAACCTGTCCTTCATTGACATGTGGCTTTCCTCAAACACCATTCCTAAGATGATCATAGACATTTTCAGGGAAAAAAAGACAATTTCCTTTAGAGGTTGCATGTCCCAGATCTTCTTTTCTCAATTTATTGCAGCACTTGAAATGGTGCTTCTGGTGGCAATGGCCTATGACCGCTATGTGGCCATCTGCAAACCACTCCACTACTTCACCATTATGAACCTACAAAGGTGTATTGGACTGGTAGTGACTGCCTGGACCATTGGCATTGTGCATGCTGTAAGTCAGCTTATTCTAATTGTGCCATTGCCTTTCTGTGGGCCCAGGGAAATAGACAGCTTTTTCTGTGATAGACCACTAGTAGTCAAGCTGGCCTGCACTGATCTTTCTAATTTGGAACTTTTCATGAATGTTAATTGTGGGGTTGTGGCTGTAATTCCCTTTATTCTGTTACTGATATCCTATGCTCATATTCTTCTTACTGTCTCCAAAGGCTCTAAAATTGGTGCATCCAAGGCTCTCTCTACATGCACTGCCCACATCATAGTGGTGGTGCTGTTCTTTGGACCCTGCATCTTTCTCTATGTGTGGCCACTCAGTATCACCTGGATGGACAAATTTCTTGCTGTGTTCTATTCTATTTTTACACCACTCCTAAATCCAGCCATTTATACACTGAGAAATAAAGAGATTAAAAATGCTGTGGAGAGACTAACAGGCTATTACATGCATTCCAAAGGAAAAACGTAATGCCTAAAATACTATAGATTCTTCATAATCAAGTAATTATCTATCAGTCTTTCCTATGCCTTCTGCCTTTTTGAGATCTTAATTTATTTTAACAAAGGCACACATCCATTACAATGGAGAGCATCTTAATGTAGTTTTTTTTCAAAATATTTTTCCTAATTTCATTTTCAAAAAATGTGTTTCTATTGCATTGACAATTCTCCTCAAAATTTTCACTTATATTTTGTCAAAACAAAGTTCAATCAATATTTTTCCTTAACACAAAATTCTACCAAGTAATAATGGGAAAAAGGAAAGGAAAAATCAAAAAAGGTGAAATAAGTGTTAAAGTACATGAGGAATAACAGTAAACATAATTCTCCTTTGGGTTTCATTAACTTAGTAAAAATAAATTATATTTTAAAACATTTTATTTTACAAAATGATATATATAATGTGAACCAGATTAAAAAAACTTTCAGTGGCTACTTTTATAATAGGTGTAACATATTTCTTTGTAAATAATCTGCAGCAATAAGTAAAATCATTTGTAATGAGAGGGTGTCATTAAATCAGGAGGACAAAACAATTTAAATTATCTATACCCTTAATTACAGAATTAACATATGTGAGCCAAATTCTGAAAGAAGTATATGGAGAAATAAATGAAAAAAATGTAATCAAATATTTCAATTCCTCACTGAAAAATTAATAGAAGATGGTAAAAATTTCATTGGAGATGTATATCATGAATCAGAAGAGCATCAGAGGAGCACCATGAACCTGTTGGAATTAACTGGTATCATGGAATACTTTGACCAAAAGCCTAAGTATGCTCCTTAATTTTCTTTTCTTTTTTTTTTTTTTTTGGTACTGGGATCAAACCCAGGGCCTTGTGCATGCTAAGCAAGCACTGTACCACTGAGCTACTTCCCAGCCCTACTCCTTATTTTTCAAATGCAGAGAAAGTCTATGACAAGTTGGATCTTAAGATAAATCTCAAAATTATAAATGTTAAAGTCATACAGAAATTTATATATAAATATTCTTTACAGCTTTATTTTAATAGCCAAAAATGGAAGTAACTTAATGTCCCTCATCAGATTATTCAAAAACCATATTATGGTAAATACATAAAATGGAATAAAACTCAGCAACAAAAAGAATGCAGATTTTATAAAAACAGCATGATAAATATGGGAGACAGTATATTAAATTATAGATGCCACACAAAAAAGAGTACATAATACTTGATACTATTTATGTAAAACAATATTTCTATGTTTATAGAAAATGTGAACTAACAAATAGAATTATAACACATATTAAAGATTGTTTGGGAAGGAGGCTGTCTGCAGAGTGTACGAAGAGGTTTAGGAGAAATGAGTTTTGGGGACTGAGGCATCTACATGTTCCTTAGGTTTAGTGTAGAGATGTTTTCATGATTGTGTGTATATATACATAAGAATTCATCAATTATAAATTTTAAAATAAATGAAATTTAATTTATGTCAATTGTCTCATGATAAATTTTTAAAATTTAAGAGGTCAAAATAAATGTATTTTAAACTAACATTTGTTTGCTTTTAATTCAACTGACCAGTATTGCCAACCCATTGAGACAACTTTGAAATGTATTTGGCTGTACCACTGATGTCAGGATATTTGTTGTCATATGTAATATTGGTCAGTGTTGGATCTTGCAAATGAAGCAGAATCTTGAACCCACTATTTTTTAATGCCAGGTTGATTTATTTGAGATTTTTATGGTCTCCCTGTTATGACTTCCAGAGTATGCAACACTTCATATCACTGTTAGCAAAGCAGGCCCCAAGAGATTCCCAAGGTAAATTATTTTTATGACTTGTTTTGTCTAGAGTGCAGAATAGGCAATTTTACTCAAGTGACTGCTTCAGGTGGTAAACAAATGCCAGGCTGAGGGAAAGGACTTTCAGAGATAGTGTCTCCATCCAGTAATGGTTGTCAACTCAAGCACACTTCTGAAAAACAGACTAAAATAAATTCTACCTTCAGAAACAAATCTGTCTTTAGCAAGCTTATTCTTTCTCTGGTTCTCTAATAATAATAAACAAAATACTTGTATGTCTGTTTCTCACATATCTATTATACTTGGCAATGAGAATGGCTTGTTCAGCTTCTAAAATTTCCCCAAACCAATTCATCTATTTTCTCCTTTTATACTACTCTTACTGTGATTTCTACAAAAATACGCATAGCACTATCATGCACTGCTTCATAGGTGCTCTCAGGTCTTCATCAGAATCAAGGTTCTTTGATGGCTACTAGATCTGAGAAGTCTCCTACTGTTGTTATTTAAATGATCTCTCATTTTAGAGAACAATGCTTCATGTCATACAGAGCATTGCCTGTAAAATGAATTTTTGCATAGAGATAGAAGCAAAATGATGTTAGAATATTAAAATTGGTTAGTACAGAAACATAACCAAAAATGATAACATAAGATCAAAGGAAGGCATCTTATGTTATTTTGAACAACTTGAATTTTCACTCTATTTCACCCACTGTACATACAGGCAATCTATTAAATTCCTAAGTAAAAGTTTCTCTGTAAAATACAAATATTAAGAATCTCACAGTTTTAAGGCTATTACTATTCTTAAAAGAATTAACCTAAAGAAAAAAAAGGAATGTAGAGTATCTTGATGAAGATGGTGAATACTATAATTAAGATCCTCTCCTGTACAGCGTCACAGAGTATCTGACCAGAAAAAGGGAAAGATTTTAAAGATAAATAGTTCTGCAGCTTTGCCTGAGGTGGCTTTGCTCATTTGGCACATGAAACACAGCATGGAGAATTTTATTCCTAAGGACATTGTGGAAATCATTGTTGAACATCAAGAGGGTGTTGTAAGTGCCATGATACTGGTAGGTACAAGAAAAAGAAGTCAAGAGCATTTTCATAAAGAGAACCATTGAAAAAAAACCTTTGTAAGTCTGCAGTCATCTCATGATCTGCAAACTTATTTCCATTTGCTGGGAGTTTTGTGGAAGAATATGGGAAAATACGAAAACATCACAGAAAGCTACACATGGATCCACAAGGGTTGTAATTCTTGTGCTTAAGGATATAAGTACAACTTGGAGGAAAAGAAAATTGGCTGAAAAATATCCTACTCTAACCTAGGTACAACACCTAGAAACCCTAGAAACCAACAAACAAAACAATTATACAAACTTAGAAGTATCAAGGCCTGTGTGCATACTTAATTACAAATATGTTGCATTCCTTTCTAAGCAAACCCCTTAATTTCACAAGTTTCACAAGACAACCTATTATGCTGGAATATACAAAATTAACCTTCAAGGATGATATTAGCCAGGTTGTTTCTGTCACCACAATAACAGTATGTTATATAAAGACTGTCATATGTTTTTCTGATCCTTAAACCATAACCTGAAAAGAATGCTTAATGATTTGAGCTTGGGGCTGGGCTTGAACTTCAGTAGTAGGACACTTTCCTAAGTGCAAAGGCACTGGGTTCAATCTCCAGAATAGAAAAAACAATCTGAGCTTTTCATTTTTTCAATACACCTCAATGAACTCCTCATGTACTTACTACACACATTATAATTCCCAATAATACATCAATGGTCATGTAAGATTGTCACTTGCTTTGGCTGGTACTTTGATAAAATCAGCACTATTAAAAATGACACTGTTGATCACTAGTAATAGGATTATAAGAGCCCCATTTCAAATTGGTGGGAGCTTCACACTGCTTTTAGTCTTAAGAACAAGAACTAGTTATTTCAGAATCCCATATTTGGAGGTCCATTTTCAGTTTTTTATTCCTTTTTTTTAATTTGATGTGCTGAGGATGTATTGTGTCATTTATAAAAGTTCTTACTATATATCAAATATATCTTACTTGAATTAATCTCCTCCATCATTCTCTTTACCCTCCCCTCCCTATTCCATTTACATGCATGTGTTCACAATATTTGCACTATATTCACCCTCCCACACCTTCCTTACATGCTTTCACCTCCAACTGGAACCACATGCCACCCCTCAAAATGACCCTGTTCAACCTTTCTATTCTTTAATATTGTAAAAGAAAAAATGACATTTTGTTTGTTTAAGATAGCTATACAGGGAGTTTTCATATGACATTTCCACGTATATATGTATTATAACCCTAATTGGCTCATCTCCTCTATTTTGCTTCTTTCTACCTTAGTCCCCTTCTAATGTTGATTTCAACAGGCTTAAAAATTGTATATTCATTCTAGCTTAGAAAACGTGTCAACCACAATCACCTTCTTAACTTCCTTCTTTTACTCTCCCTCTCTTGTATGTAACCTTCCCTTAGTGTGACCTGTTTTTCATAATATTGCTTATATTTGAATTGGGCCTGTATTCCACATATGGAGAAAACCTGTGGGTCTGGCCTTCTGAACCTGGCTAATTTCACCAAAGATGATGTTTTCCAGTTCCATCCACTTACCTGCAAACAACAAAATTTCATTTTTCTTTGTGGCAGAATAAAGTTCCACTGTATATAAAAACCACATTTTTTGTCACTTGTTTAGGAATTTATATATTTATCTTTTTCTTTTTCTTTTATTATTGTTGTGCTGGGAGTACATTGTGACATTTAGAAAAGTTCTCACAATATAATATACTTGAATTCACCCCCTCTGTAATTTTCCTTTATCCTCCCTCTCTCCATTTCTGGAATTGTTTCAACAGGTCTAATTTTTCCTACATACATGTGTACACAGTGTTTGCACCATATTCACCTTCTCACACCCTTTCCCCACATCTTTCCCCCACACTAGTACCAACCCCACAGACAGGACCTTTTCTGCCTTCTCTGTTCTCTGGTTTTGTAAAAGAAAAAATGACATTTTTGTTTGCTTAGGACTGTTATACATTGATTTTCCTTGACACATATTTTTTGAAATTATACTTGCTAATGTAATATTGTACTAGACAAATTTCATCACTGTGACAAATATTTGACAGAAACATCTTA